GGCTACACAATCATGGGGAAGACTGCTGACTTGACAGTTGTCCAAAAGACGACCATCGACACCTTGCACAAGGAGGGCAAGACACAAAAGGTCATCGCTAAAGAGGCTGGCTGTTCACAGAGCTCAGTGTCCAAGCACATTAATAGAGAGGCGAAGGGAAGGAAAAGATGTGGTCGAAAAAAGTGTACAAGCAAGAGAGATAACCGCACCCTGGAGAGGATTGTGAAACAAAACCCATTCAAAAATGTGGGGGAGATTCACAAAGAGTGGACTGCAGCTGGAGTGAGTGCTTCAAGAACCACCACACACAGACGTATGAAAGACATGGGTTTCTGCTGTCGCATTCCTTGTGTCAAGCCACTCTTGAACCACAGACAGCGTCAGAAGCGTCTTGCCTGGGCTAAAGAGAAACAGGACTGGACTGCTGGTGAGTGGTCCAAAGTCATATTCTCTGATGAAAGTAAATTTTGCATTTCCTTTGGAAATCAAGGTCCCAGAGTCTGGAGGAAAAGAAGAGAGGCACTTCATCCACGTTGCTTGAAGTCCAGTGTAAAGTTTCCACAGTCAGTGATGGTTTGGGGTGCCATGTCATCTGCTGGTGTTGGTCCATTGTGTTTTCTGAGGTCCAGGGTCAACGCAGCCACATACCAGGAAGTTTTAGAGCACTTCATGCTTCCTGCAGCTGACCAACTTTTTGGAGATGCAGATTTCATTTTCCAACAGGACTTGGCACCTGCACACAGTGCCAAAGCTACCAGTACCTGGTTGAAGGACCATGGTATCCCTGTTCTTAATTGGCCAGCAAACTCTCCTGACCTTAACCCCATAGAAAATCTATGGGGTATTGTGAAGAAGAAGATGCAATACACCAGACCCAACAATTCAGAAGAGCTAAAAGCCACTATTAGAGCAACCTGGGCTATCATAACACCTGAGCAGTGCCACAGACTGATCGACTCCATGCCACGCCGCATTGCTGCAGTAATACAGGCCAAAGGAGGCCCAACTAAATACTGAGTGCTGTACATGCTCATACTTTTCATGTTCATACTTTTCAGTTGGCCAACATTTCTATAAATCCTTTGTTTTTATTGGTCTTCAGTAATATTCTAATTTTCTGATATGATGAATTTGAGATTTTCATTTGTTGTCATTTGTAATCATCAAAATTAAACAAAATAAACATCTGAAATATATGAGTTTGTATGTAATGTATGAATATAATATACAAGTTTCACTTTTTAAATGGAATTACTGAAATCAATCTACTGTTTCATGATATTCTAATTTTATGACCAGCACCTGTATGTGATTATGAGTTTACTCAGCTAGCCCTACAAGAAAAGCACAGTTCAACAATGTATATTCTGCATATAATTGAGAATTTATAGCAGAAAACCCTGAGATTCATATGTCTAATATTATTATTGTTGTTTGTTAATAAAGTTCATAATGAGATTTGCAGGCAAAGAAAACTCAGAAAATTACAGGTTTAGAAAATAAATATCTAAAACAGAGAACAGAAACTTATAGGAGCATCTCCTACTGAAAGAAGACAACACAAAAACACCTAATAAGACTTTATTGTTATAATGTTATAACTCCAAAAGCTTATATGGTGGCTACAACTATAGTCCTCAGAATAACCACAAGTTTTTCTTCTTTATTCAGAGCCACCGAGTGCTTAAGAAATGAAGGACTTTTGAACCAAATTATAAAGCTATATCAGAGTCACCGATCGAGGGAGAAAAAACAAATAATTTGCAAAACATTCACATTTATCTTAACCTATTTATTAATCAATTGTATCTTATGTTTGTTCTATTTGTACGCAGAGTCCGGCAAGAACCATAGCTGCAGATACACCAATTTTAAGAGGAACTTTAACGATAAAATTATTATTCCGAATAACTAAATGGTCTTCCAGGAGGTTATGTTACACTCAGTATTACAGCTAAATCTACTCTGTTCAGCTTAAAACATTTTTTATTCGGTTAGACTGCTATTTAACCAAAGTTTCAGCAAGTTGAACGTGTATATTTTGACTAAATCTATTACAGTTTAACCGAAAAAAAAAATGTGAAGAGCCAAAGCAATCGAGTTCGTTTTGTCGAAACATACAGGAAGCTACCAGCTAGCTGTGATTTCGCTGGAAAGGAAATATAATTAGTTGATTTAGAAACTCAAAATGAGCTTATAACAGTTTAACTGAAAGTGAAATGCAGTTTCCGATAAGTATGTGTTTGTGATGAAGTATTCTCAGGTCAAGCTCTTAAGCTAGAAGCTTACTCGGCCAGTCTTCATCAAAGCTACCGCTAACAAGTCCGCTGCACTTATTTTGTTTTCCTCATTTAGACGAAACTACTGTAGTGGAGGAACCGGGTCCGTAAATCTTTAAACATACAAGCTACGTAAGGTGAACCTCACCGAGAGCTGACTGAATCCCCGGATCCCCTTCATCTCTCTCCTTCAGCCAGGACGAACAGCCAATATGGCCGTCTTCAAAGTGCCCTACCCAGAATCCACCGCGCGTTCTTCGGTCGCGCGCAGAGACGCGCAGCAGGTAAGCGCGCCCTCTAGTGTCACAGCTCCGGCTGCTAAAAATATATAGTGGTTTTCTGAAATGGAATAACTATCTGTTTATGTTTTCTCTCCAAATTCTTCCTCAAAATATCCAATGAATTAATCTTTTCCTCAATATGTTCAAACTCTCTCCTCATGTATGTTCTCTCTCTTTCATATTTATGACATTTTAGTATAAAGGGTTTTATTGTTTCTTATTTTCCACAGTAATCACATTTGCCAGTGACATGCTTTTGAAATTTAAAAAAAGTGTAAAATTAAGTCCTGCTTGCCCAAATCTTAACCTTGTTATCACTCTCATTCATATTTCGTCTTCCGTTTCTTCATTTCCAATCGTCTGAATTTTATAAAACCATCTTCCTATTTTTTCTTCATCCCAGCTTTTTTTTTTTTGTTGTTGCCAGTTTTCTATCATTTTTTTCTCTCGAAATAACACCCTTCCCCCCAGAGTTACTTGGTTTAACTGTAAACCTAACAGGATTTTCAATTGCCCTCTTTGCCATGTTATCTGGCTTCTCGTTTCCTTCTACTCCAATAAGTGCTGGAAACCACACAAATATAACTATCAAACCCAGATTTTGTATTCTGTATAATGAATGAAATATTTCTAATAGAATATCTGTCCTATTATCTGATTGGTTGTATATTAAACTTGATAATGCAGAGCTTGAATCTGAACAAACTACTGTTTTTAGTGGTTTTGTATCTTCTACTGATTGTAAAGCTAATGATATTGCCAACATTTCTCCTGTGTATACTGATAATCCGTCCTAAATTCATTTTTTAGATTTTTGTATTGAATTTTGGTACAACAATAGTGATTCTTATTTTTTCCTGTTATTTTTGATTCATCTGTATACATTTGAATACATTGATAATACTTGTTTAGATGTAACTGGAATTAATATCTCATAACAATGTAAGATTGTGTTTATTTTCATTTTTGACATATCTACTGTTGCTTCTGGTAGAATCCACGGTGGAATAACTGAATAACTGGTGTTTGAGTAATTTCTAAATCAGTCATTTTTAAACTTTTTTTAATTTTATTTTCAATTTTCCATCTAAAACTCCCCATTGTTGGGCTGAACGTAAAGAAATAAAAGCTGTATTCAAAATACCGAGGGAGTAACTTCCAATCCCGCCTGCAGTGCCCTACAAAATAAAGCTCCAGCTAAAACGGGCATAGAGAAACCAATTGTAATTGTTTTCCTGCCTTTATCGTCACATATGCACCTGATCTAAATTGAATATACAGGGTTTACTGGGAATAAAGCTATCTATTGAGTATGAGAGAGAGAGATATCACAGACAAGACGCACATGAGAAGTCGTGTGAGACGAAGCTGAAGTTGGCTTCCGATTCGCAAAATGAATAAAGGGCAATTCCACTGAATTTTCTCTACCTGCATGTTTAATCTACTCTAATAAAAAAACCTACAACACCTAGAAACGTCTAGTGGATTATATTACTCTAAACTAATTTTTGAACAATTAAAACCAGGTCTGGGATTTGTGAAACCTTTTTTTTTTCTAATTTTAATTAGAGTAGATTAAAGATGTTGAAGGTAGGGAAAAATAAGTGGAATCGCCCTTTATTTATTTTACGAATCGGAAGCCATATTCAGCTTCGCGTTTTTCAGCATATGGTACTGGCAAACTTCAGATAATTGAAGCAAGGGTGGATAGAAAAATGTAAATAGATTTTCTTGATAAAAAAAAATCTGTTGCCATCTCCAGAGATAATGAAAATGAAAAAGAATACTAATCAAACTTATTGATCTCACATTGGAGAAATGTACCTCTGCATTTGGAGAGCGGTAGGCTGGGGAGCCCGGGGAGCGGAGTGAGGTTAAGGGTCTTGCTCAGGGACCCATAGTGCAGACTACTGCAACCTTCTCAGAGCACAAGCGCACCGCTATAACCCATTAGGCAAACACTCACCAGAAATAGTGTAACATTAATAAAAGCTTAATAATACAGACAATGGATGAAAGGTAAAAAAAAAAAAAAAAGTCAAAGAACTCTGGTTCAAAAAAGTTTAAAAGAAGTATAGGTGTATGGAGGACTGACTGCCATATATAAAAATAAATACAGAAATAAATAAATGCTCAATAAATAAATAAGCATAATTAATTGCTACCAAAAATACTATAAACAAATAAATGTAAGTAGAAATTAAATTATACAGTGAGACATAAATGTATATAACTCTGATGAGACAATAGAACATGTTATATTAAATTGTTAAAATTATGATTGTTAAACATTTTAATTGAATTTAATAAATACATCTTGGTGTAGTTGATATCTTATAAGTTAGTCTTTGAGAGACGTTCTAGTCCACGCCATACCACCCGGTGGCAGTAATGCACAAATTCGGTTGTCCGCCAATTGCCAAAAACCTAAAAGAAGAAGAAGAAGATCCCTTCTTCCATTAACACGTGTGGTGAACGTTTGTGCTCCCTGCATGCGTTAGAACTCAAGACTTTAAACCTGTTAAACATTTGGTGAAGCAACGTATCCTGCGCCGTTTTTTCCAGCCCCTTTAAAGCCAGAAGGTAAACAAGTAGTCCTCCGTGAAGCATTTCGCCGAGAGGGCCGAAATACGAGAAAAATACTCCGCAATGGTGAGTACTGCATTAGCTAACCAGTTTGCACACTCGTTAACTTTTAGCAAGACACTAGAGAGCGCTGCTTTGAGATAATATTTGTTATTTTTTAACTGAACACTTGTCGCCCTTATTTTTTGTGGCTGTATTGTTTCTGTTTTGTTAAGGCTGAGCCACAAGTGAACCCTAAGGCCTACCCGCTGGCCGATGCTACTCTCACCAAAACCATCTTGGACCTGGTGCAGCAAGCCTCCAACTACAAACAGCTGAGGAAGGGAGCCAATGAAGGTGGAGCAAATTACACAAACAAATCCTTTTACACCATATCAACGCCAAAGTTAATTTATGGAGAACTTACAGATTATGTGGGTCAGTCAGCAATAAATCAGTATTAATCACAGACTGTGTTCTATGACTTTGCTATAATCAATTAAATATTTTCTAAATAACACTGTGTGCCTTTTGAATATAATACATTTTTTAATTGTGTTGTGAAAACTTCACTTTATAAATATAAACCTATTGTTTTTGTTTGGGGGGGGGGGGGGGGGCTTGAAAACTAGTTCATTGATTTACAACAAAAATCTTCTAATTATTATCTAACAGCGCAGTGTTTCTATTTTGAATGGTTTATAACCCAACTAACTTGGCAAAAGCCAATTGGGGTGGAAATAATCTAGTGATCAGTTTCATGCATCAAGAATTATGATTAAAAAACCTAGTCCACAAGCATCCTCTTTTACATTTTCTCCTAAATTTTCACGTTATATGTTTACATTATTTATTGGCAGCATCTAAAAATATCAGATATATTTTCAATTTAATCATAGATATGAAATAATACAATATAACCTACACTTAAATGATTGTCCTAGGTCATCAAATCAATTCAGTCTGTCCAATAGGCTGCCTGTAGTGTCTTTAAATGTCCAGCAGGTGTCAGTATTCTGTCAGACAGTATCAACCCAGTGTCAATACAGTTTGGCAGTGGGTCAAAATACCCATCATTACAACCATCTTCCCATCCACAAAGGCAAAAATCACGTCCTTTTGCTTCTTTTTCTCAAAAAGAAATGCAGAGTATTCCATCTAAAACCAGCACAGTCATGTTTGTGGTACTTCAGCTTTCCATCTCAGATTGACGCTGTAATGTTCCCACATTTCATTGGTCTGACGCATTTCTCTATCGATGCCTAACCAATCTGTTGGCTCCTGGCAAGATGTATTGAGAGTTTGTGATTTCAGAACTCTCCAGACAATTCACCTTGCTCTTTTGTTTCCTGTCTATTGTTACCGGACAGGCCGATTAATCCAGGTGCTCAGACCTCAGTTTCCATGACGACATTGGCCAGAAACCTGCCTTTAAAGCTATGAGTTGTCGAGACTTCTGCATCATCATTGATATTTTTGTTCTTAAACCCTAATTTACACAGTCAGAGTCATGTAGTAAACAGAAACAGAACAGAAAAAAGGTTTTACAGAAATGCTTAATGTATCAAAATGAATGCAAAGTAATGTTGTAATTTAAGTAGTTCAAAAAGTATGTATTTTCATTTGTCAGAAAGTTAATTTACTATTCCATTATCAATTTATAATTTTTTTTATTTAATCTAGTGTCAATTCTTTTACGGCCCATCCAGTAATGAAAAATGACAAAGGACGGGGCTGTAATAGTGGAGTTGGACATATAGGACATTGGCTAAATGAAGTAAACTTGAGTTTTGGGTGTTTTTTTTAACCACAGCTTAACTTGATCAAGTTCAAGTAAGGGTTGCAAGCATCAAGTTGGCTTTATGCCACTTAGCTGTCATAAATTAGCTATTTGCATAATGTTAAAGAAATTTGTTATGCATCAGTGATCAACACAGATTTAGATGCTTTAGAATCTACATGTTGGTTTAATTGCTATTGTCTCAGTTTATCTAAGAGGTGTGCATTAGACACTCAAATATTTTTAAAATAACTGTATTAACCCAATCTTTTTACATTTTGTCTTTTACTTAGCCACTAAAACTTTGAACAGAGGCATCGCAGAGTTTATTGTAATGGCTGCTGATGCTGAGCCACTGGAGATCATCCTTCACCTGCCGCTGCTCTGTGAGGACAAGAACGTCCCGTATGTGTTTGTCCGCTCCAAGCAAGCGCTGGGCCGTGCCTGTGGTGTGTCCCGTCCGGTCATTGCCACCTCTGTCACCATAAAGGAGGGATCTCAACTAAAGCCACAGATTCAGTCAGTTCAAATGGCTATTGAGAGATTGCTGGTGTGACTTTTGAGCAACATTGGTAAAGATTTCCAAAGGTGGATGTATCCCTTGCTTCAATTTTATGTTGGATTTAAAAAAAATTTTTTGCATGAAAATTTTTTTTTTTTAATATTGTATATTTTGTAGGGTAATCACCTTTATGTTAATAAACATTCTTTTTTTTTTTTGCAGCTCGTGTTTTTTCTTTAAAAATGTGAGTTAAACTTTAAAATTAATCAAGCAAGTAAACCTTAAAGGAAATGGAAATTGCTGTAAAAACAGAAAAAGGAGAAAACCCAACAAATTGACATTTTTCAATGGAAAGTATTCATGGTTTATGTTGCACATGTTCGCTATCACCCAAAGTCAAAGTTTCATAGGAAAAGCCCCTTAAAGAAGTTTTTTAAATAATTTTATTTTTTTTTGCCCTTTCTCCAGATTATACACATTCTGTGATGTAATAGTTGAGTAAAACTAATTCCACATTTTTATTAATTTGGTCCAGCCTGTTGGCTGCTGTGTTGAAATTTACAGATTTTTCTTTGTCCTTAGTTATAATTTTATTACTCTTTTGCCTGAAATGCAGAGCCTTGAGGACAGATATCTAGTTAATGATAAACCTTCCTTTTGCTAGCATTCGCACTCTACAGATTTCGGCTTATGGGATAATTTATAATCGAGTGAGATTTGGTGTCTCCAAATGTATCAGTTTTATGAACCGAATCCCATCAAAATATATCTGGAACCATTACTCAGCCTGGCCAGCCAGACGTATCAGCCATGTTTACTCTGTATTAGTCTTGTAAAGGTAATTCAGTGGCTGGACTCACAGGGTCAGCCGCTAGGTAACTAAAGATGAGATACACTATATTGCCAAAAGTATTTGCTCACCCATCCAAATTATTGGAATCAGGTGTTCCAATCACTTCCATGGCCACAGGTGTATAAATTCAAGCACCTAGGCATGCAGACTGTTTTTACAAACATTTGTGAAAGAATGGGTCGCTCTCAGGAGCTCAGTGAATTCCAGCGTGGAACTGTGATAGGATGCCACCTGTGCAACAAATCCAGTCGTGAAATTTCCTCGCTCCTAAATATTCCACAGTCAACTGTCAGCTGTATTATAAGAAAATGGAAGTGTTTGGGAACGACAGCAACTCAGCCACGAAGAGGTAGGCCACGTAAACTGACGGAGCGGGGTCAGCGGATGCTGACGCGCATAGTGCGAAGAGGTCGCCAACTTTCTGCAGAGTCAATCACTACAGACCTCCAAACTTCATGTGGCCTTCAGATTAGCTCAAGAACAGTGCGCAGAGAGCTTCATGGAATGGGTTTCCATGGTCGAGCAGCTGCATCCAAGCCATACATCACCAAGTGCAATGCAAAGCGTCGGATGCGGTGGTGTAAAGCACGCCGCCACTGGACTCTAGAGCAGTGGAGACGCGTTCTCTGGAGTGACGAATCGCGCTTCTCCATCTGGCAATCTGATGGACGGGTCTGGGTTTGGCGGTTGCCAGGAGAACAGTACTTGTCTGACTGCATTGTGCCAAGTGTAAAGTTTGTTGGAGGGGGGATTATGGTGTGAGGTTGTTTTTCAGGAGCTGGGCTTGGCCCCTTAGTTCCAGTGAAAGGAACTCTGAATGCTTCAGCATACCAAGACATTTTGGACAATTCCATGCTCCCAACTTTGTGGGAACAGTTTGGAGCTGGCCCCTTCCTCTTCCAACATGACTGTGCACCAGTGCACAAAGCAAGGTCCATAAAGACATGGATGACAGAGTCTGGTGTGGATGAACTTGACTGGCCTGCACAGAGTCCTGACCTCAACCCGATAGAACACCTTTGGGATGAATTAGAGCGGAGACTGAGAGCCAGGCCTTCTCGTCCAACATCAGTGTGCGACCTCACAAATGCGCTTCTGGAAGAATGGTCAAAAATTCCCATAAACACACTCCTAAACCTTGTGGACAGCCTTCCCAGAAGAGTTGAAGCTGTTCTAGCTGCAAAGGGTGGACCGACGTCATATTGAACCCTATGGATTAGGAACGGGATGTCACTTAAGCTCATATGTGAGTCAAGGCAGGTGAGCAAATACTTTTGGCAATATAGTGTACAAAACTCCAAGGCTCTGTTATAATTTTGTAGTCCGTGAAACATGAGCAAAACTTAGGGGATGCGTAGTTTTCATGGTTCAGCTAAAGTAACAAAGCAAGAATTGATTATTATGTAGCAAATGAATTTTTGACAAATGAAATGAATTCTATTGACCCTTTAACAATCTTATTTCTCTACAACTGAAACCCTAAAACTGGAGTCAAAGCTCAAGTAGATGGTTAAGTCCACTCTTAGAAATTAAAACCTACCAAAAAATGTATTAATAAAAGACTCAGAACCTGATCAAAAAATAGGACTTCCTAAAATGCAAGATCAGACAGGTTTCTATTACATTAAGTAACTGAATAATGAAAAAAAAGTGACTCATCAGCTTAACATGTTACCATAAACATAATCTCTCAGAAAACAAACTGAAAATATTAACGATTCTTAGTTGGATGAAATGTATATCCAAAGGTGCATATATTTACTTAGCCAAATGGACAGAGAAGGGTGAAATAAACAGCCTATTTAATTTAGAGAAAATACAACAAATGCATTAAATCACTGATTAGCAAAGGAGATCCATATATATATATAGATCTGATAGATATACAGATATATATATAGATATATCTATATAGATATATATAATTAAACATTAGAGCTTGATAAAGCTGTTAAATGCTTATTGTTAAAGCTCCTGGCCCCTGATGGACTTAGGGGAGTGGGAGCCTTCTGGTTAGGGCATATATCTTGGAAATCTGAGGTTCTGAGTTTGAGCCCCACTCCAACAGACTATCACTCTGGGTCCTTGAGCAAAGATCCTTAACCCCACACTGCTCCCCAGGCGACACACAGTGGCAGCCCACTGCTCCCCAAATGGATGGGTTAAATGCAGGGAGTAAAATCCCAATTTGGATTGTTAAAAGGAAGAAAGATCCACAACAATATTAACTAGTAATGGGATTTAAACAAATATAGGCTCTGTTTAAATTCAGGGGCTAGACTGGATCCTTCGACTTGAAAATAAGGAGACCGGAAGAGTGGCAAAAGAGTGACTGTGAATTCAAACAGGTTTTTTACCGCTGTAGGCTATGTTGCTTAGCAACTGTGACAGTTGACACACAAAGCAGGAAAAGAATGAATACTGAAGTTTTCAAAACTGTTTATTTTTTATTGAGTGGAATAAAGATGCCAACCACCAGGAGCAGGAACAAATCAAATCAAATGCTGCTGTCATTCTGCACATCTCTGATGTTGCTGCTATTTTCAAATATCATTACTGTAAAAATGTCCATAGCTGCATATTGGTTATTTATTCTCCAGTTTTATATTGTTAAAACACTTTACAGAAGTGTATTGTTTATATTTTAACTCTTCCCTGTTATGTTATTCTTATACATTTTTCTAAGGTCCACATTTGTGTGACCATTTTCAATAATCTTTCTGCTGCTGTAAATTTGCCCATTGTGGGAAAATAAAGGGATTTTCTATTCTATTCTATAAAAGGGGTAGAAATATATAAGTAAATCTAAACAATGTAAGTATAAAAAATATATCTGCAAAATCTCTAATATTCCACAAAAAAAATACTTATTGCTGTTTTGCATATTGTGCAAAACAGCAATAAAAAGATAAAAATCCTATCAGATTTATAGTCCCCTCTCTGCAGATCTATTAGAATCTGTCCTTTAATTACAGCCAAACCCATTTACACAGTAACAGATAAAAACCTTTAGATAAATCAAACATTACCGCCACATATCTGACTCTATAACCATTAAAACAACTATTTTCATTAATCTCAGACGGAACTATTAAATGACTAGTATTAAACTGAAACTTCCGATTTTCATCACTGCTCAGCGCCAAGTACTCTTTCCTCTGATCACGGCTTGCTGGGTCTCGCAATGAATCCTGGGATATCCAAGGAGAGCGAGGATACATCGGACCCGTCCTTCAAAACGGGCAAAAAGAAGGACGCATTTTAAGGCCGCATAACGAGGACTCTTGGAATCTGACCAGACCTCGGCGCCGTGCTATGACGTAATCGGCCTTCGAATCTGGCCTTCTGAGGACGCGTCCCATAAATTCGAACAGGTCCAACGTTTCTGTTCCCCCTGTCAGGAGCGCGCATTGCAGCCAGAGAGGCGGATCTGGTCATTTTCAAAGCGCTCCTGATCATTTCTCGGCGTAAACAGCTCATATAATCATGTCAACTTTGTAACATTCAGTTTAATCTATTGCTCATTTTAAAAATGTGTAAAATAAATACATTAACGAGGTCTTCTTACTCTGTTTTGTGTTGTTTTTTTTTTAAACGACAAGAGAATCTGTATTTCTCCTACTTTTGTCCCTTCAGTCCGACAGAGATAAATGTCAGTCGCCAAACACAGATTTAAAACGTAGTGTATTTTTTATTTTTCATTGCTGATATAAGAGGGTGGAAACTGGCTGATAGTAGGGCACACAAATTACAACCAAACAGAATAACTAGGAAATGAAAACCAAACAAACCAAAACAGTTCCCCATAATGCACCTCTTCGTCCCGCCGAAGTAGTTTTGTTAACAAGTAAGTCACATAAAACTGCTGTTTCCCGCAGTACGAGAACATTGAACGTCGCATTTTTTTTTTCCACGGAGGAGGTTTGTCCGCACTTTGAATTCAGCTCAGAATCTGCGGGTTGAACTTTGCTCTTGCCAGGTTGTGGCTGTCAGAGGGGGAGACGATGGCTGATCCTCCCGTGATCATATGGGAACAAGAAGTTGGAAGACTGCTCAGTTACATGGATCTTATTCCCTATCTGGAGGACGCTTTGGGAAAGTTTTCCCGACGGGACAGCACCGAGGTGATCCAGCCTGTGCGCACAGTGGTGCCGCTGCAGAAACACGGCGGGTAGGTTTGACTGCACGACGCCACTGATCGAGTTAAGTAAACATTTACAGACTGTTCCTGCTTCAAACATGTCCTCTTTTCAGGTTCATGGGCCTGATGCCCACATACATGGAGAACGATGGAGTCCTGTGCACAAAGTTTGCCTGTTTCTACAAGAGGGAGAAAGGCTCCACTCTGCCAGCTGTTCAAGCTACGGTGGTCCTGTTGGATCCAGAATATGGGAACATCAAGGCTGTGAGTCAGTCTGTTATCTATCTATCTATCTATCTATCTATCTATCTATCTATCTATCTATCTATCTATCTATCTATCTATCTATCTATCTATCTATCTATCTATCTATCTATCTATCTATCTATCTATCTATCTATCTATCTATCTATCTATCTATCTATCTATCTATCTATCTATCTATCTATCTATCTATCTATCTATCTATCTATCTATCTATCTATCTATCTATCTACACTGTAAACCCGAATAAGTTGAAAATTCTCAAAATCTTTGTCGTAACCGTGCACGTGAATGGTTTTTAGTAGAGGAAATAAATATTATGACTTTGACTGAACTTAAAAAATATAACTTCAGTTTTCTCAAAAGCTTTCTTTGCATTACTTTAGTTTTTGTGTAATAGAAATTATTTTATGAGTTTGAATGACTTAAAAAATATACCTCCACTTTACTCAAATGCTTTATTGCAGTTATTAAGTTTAACCAACTCCAATTTGTAATCATTCTTAAAGATATATATATATATATATATATATATATATATATATATATATATATATATATATATATATATATATAAAATATACCTTATATATAAACCTTATACGTTTAATTCAATTACCTAAAGTCTAAAAACAGAAACGGACATCAAATCTCTTTTTTAGTTCACGTTTTTTTTATTTAAGTTTTAAAACAACCTTTAACAAAACATTGGGAACAGTTTCATTAAACTAGTTTTGCCAGAAAAAATATTAAGGCTTAACAGTTATACAGGTCTCTGAAACATTATTTAACAGAAAGACCATGCTAATTTTAAAATAACCTAAAGTGGATAGCCCATCCATCTTGTTACCCCCCCCCCAAAAAAAAAACAAAAAGGAAAGAAAAAAACACACAAATTAAACAACAAATTATACAAGCTATGGAGAAAGAAAAATGACATTGTGGTGGAATCAAAGCTAACATCCAATTATTCAACTAAAATTAGCCACAAACATTGCATCAATATTGAGGTAGATAAAGCAGAGGACAACTCTGAAACTACTGAAAGGGTAAACTGTGCTTCATTAAGAAACTCTTTTCCCAGACACATTTACGGCATGGTGCAATATTGAACTTTGAAGGAACAGATACAGTGAAGTCTCATTTACACACAGGTGCCTTCAACATTGCTGAACAACTCATTTTTCCAATTTAGAATGGTTTGAGTGGCCTGTTATCATCAAGACACAGCAGTATTTTCTGAACAAAGGTAAATGTGTAGACAAGTTTCTTTGGATAATCTAAATGTAATGCATATGTTAAGCCAAACAAGAGAAGAAGTGCATCAGCCAACCTGGGGAGACTTCTCACAACAAAGTCACCTTTGATCACGACACAAATGCTGTTGGGGTTTAACTGGATGGTGCCAGTGGAGTTTTCTGTTGCCACAGAGAGGAGCACAACAGGGTTGTCCTCAATGTCAGGATCAACTTCCCGCTGCAAAATACACACAGAAACACGAAAAGAAAAAAGCAAAATGTAATAAATATGATTCAAGAATATGTATTTGGGGTCCTGCACTGGAATTACAGTACAGCTCCTCATACAGAAATAAAATTCGTACACATTTTCTTAATAATTTTTCTCTTTATCTTGGGACTTGTTTCACATTAAGAACACAGAACAATTATTTCACATCTATTAAATATTAACTTCAGTTGCTCGTAAAAATAGTAGAGAACGAGAGATCTGTTTTACAGAAGGAACAATCAATTAAATGCTGACTAATGATGTAAAATACTCAATACGTTAATAAGGCCACACATGTTAATTCTATTCAGTGTAAATAGACTTACATTTTCTATTTTAATGTAATTAATAATGCAGCTTTAAAAAATATATAAAAATATATATAATACCTTAGATATTGGTGGTGTTGCTCAATAATTAGTTTCCACCCTGGATGAAATGAGCAGAGAAATAGAAAATTTATTTAATTTTTCAATTCGTTAAACATCGTGATCCATGTTTACTTTTTAAGTAAAAAAAAAACAAAAGTACCGTAAGAAAAACTGACTTACCAGATGAAATGCTGCTATCACGTCTGTGGGAATAATGATATTTGGCCTACAGCAGCTCTCTGTGAAAAAGTTTCATTTTTAATTTACACATAATAACCACTTACAAACTAAATTCAATGCACATATTTATATTTTTTGGCCATCATTCACACTGGTTTATCTCCATTTTAATTTAATTTGGATAGATTTGTAAATTTACGACATTTTTATTTAAAATATTTAATGAAATGACAGCCATCAACTCAAAAGTATTAATCTTCTTCAAATTAAAATAACGTTATTAAGTCAGAAAACTCATTAATTTATAGTTATTTTAACGGAAACCTTAATATTGAGTTATAACTTTAAGTTAGTAGTATCGTGGTGTATTCTTGACTATCGAAAATAATCAAATCGTTGGGTCAGGAAATCGATACTGAATCGAATCGCCATGATGGATGTGATTTACACCCCTAGTATGCTACACTGGGAAATACAGAGTTTCCTTAAAGCTGAAGTCTGTAAGTTTTTAAAAATCACTTTTTTGTCATATTGGCTAAAACTGTCCCTATGCCCAGACAGCAGTACATGTGATATGTAACCTGTGAAAAAAAACTGCCTCAATTGGTCCCGCATACTGCCTGTATTTCAATCTGGAAAGAATAATTCGGGACGAGTCAAAACAACCAATCACAGCCAGAGGAGCGTCTGATGGGGTGTCAATCACAGCCCCCCCCCCCTCACCGCTTAACCTGCCGCAGCGCCTGGCTGCCGCAGTCAGGAGGATGCCCGTGGAAGTCATGGCGGAGCGACAGCCACCAGCGAAAGAGAAACTGCCCTTACTGCCCCTGCCGACAACTGCTTACACGGCAAACTTCGGTATAACCAGCATCTTATATCTAGCTGCTTGGAGGTGAGTGTTATCGCTCTTACCGGTTCACACTCCATGCCGCCTACGCTGCTTGGACGCTTCTGGTCGCATGCGGTAGCCGCGCAGGTGCTGTGAGAGGGGTGGGGCTTGGAGGTCGGGCATGAGTGAAGCAGAGAGGGTGGGGGAGTGGCGTGAAACCTGTTTTTCTTCAAATTTTCAGTCGGAGTCTGCTCTCTTCTCAATGTTACAGACTGCAACTTTAATGTGGACTGAATTAATTTTAATTTGTCAGCAGTCCTTAGAATTTATTTAGGCAAAGAAACCCACTCTGACTTCACACTTTTCCTTTAGGAGCAATGAAACCAGCACGACTGCTTTATGGTTGTAAATAAATGTGTCTGAAAAGCATTTAAGCTGGCTTGGTGATGTCACATAGAACTATCCATCAATACCTTCTCAAAATCCTAAAAGCGCAAGGAGAGCTGAGGCTTCTGTAATGACCTTACAACGTTGGATCCATAATTTGAGGTGAGACAGGCAGTGAGAACGTTCAAAGCGTTTGTGGCAGAAAAAACACTCCATATCCATAGGACAGAAACAGGTCACAATCAGAAAAACAGAACAAGATACATATCGCTGCTTGAATAACCTGGCTCTGATGAAAGGCAAGCACGCAACATAATAGCTGAATAACCAGGTGGAAATGATCGGCGTTAATCAGACGCAGGACCAATTAGACAGGGGAGCAAGGAGGAAAGGGAAAAACCAAACCATCAGTGCCAAGATCATGACTGCTTCAGAATCGTTTAAAACAACCCAACTTCATGCAGCATGTCGATTCATATGAAAAACTAAAACCAAACAGAATCTGTATTAATAGAACTGTTGACGGATTTTCAATTATGGTCATATCACTGCATGCTTACTCCACAAGTAGTAACCCCAGGGTTATAGATGGATTTATTGATGGAGTGAAAAACAGGAGCGGAACTCCAACACATATCATGTTTGATCTGCAGAGGACTGTTCAGTGGAACAGATGCAGATATTCTTAATAAGTGATCAAGAAGACCAGTTTTGTGAGAGATTGTACATTACGGGCTCAAGTAAGCATAACCAAATATATAGATATTATCTCATAATTACGATATAAGATCTCGTAATTACGAGATCAGTATCTCTCATAATTACAAGATCTTTATCTCGTATGTCTTTTAATTCCGAGATATTATCTTGGAATTATGAGATACTGATCTTGTAATTAGGAGAGAAGCTGTCAGTTTTTTTTCTCTTTGGTGAATGCAATACGCTTCCGTAGAATCAGACAGTCCCACAAGAAGTTACAGAGTGATCATACTCCCTACATTCCTATCTCCATGTATGGAGTTGTTTCCTGTTTTTTCTGCTTCTACAACATCATCTCTTCTTGTGTATGTGTGTGCGGAAAGGTCATTCTCAGCCTTCACCTGCACATGTTGTTTTCTACACTCTGTTACTCTGTTCTGTAAATCTGCCCTGATACATATGAACAATAAGCTTTGCTGCAGCTTTAACTTAGCTATTTACTTCTTTTAGCTTCAAACGTGTATATATATTAGGGCTGCAACTAACGATTATTTTAAAAATTGATGAATCGGACAAAAAATATTTTTTATATTAACCTCTTTATTCCAAAATAAACATTTTAGACAGAACAAACAAGCACACCAGTACAGGTTGCTCATTAACTGCACTGGTGCAATATGAAAAATAAATGTTTGTGATAAAACTACGCAAACTTACATGAGAAATGTAGCTTTACATCCACAAAATATAGGGTACTTTGTTTCATAAAGTGCAAAAAAAGACATTTTTGTTTTTTAAAGCCCCTAAGGGGCTCAAACAATAGGCCCCCCCATTTCAACAAATGAGTTTTTTTAGACTAGAAGAGTTCTGCCTTTTAAGACAGGAAAGTATAGCAGTTAAAGTTGCTACTTGAGAAAATACTGAACCATAGAGATAAAAATAGCCCTGTGATTCAAATTATAAATTGTATTTGGAATAAAAATGAGAGAACTAGGGGTGCTAAAAAACACATCCTCCAAAGACAGATATTTACATGGGAATGTGGCAGATAATTAATTGACATATTACTGATCTTGCTGGATTTTATGCTTTACTTCCATAAATTGCAGGATCTTCTTTACTTTATCTTTGCCAGAAGATTTAAACTTCAAAAGCCTTGTCCTCATAATTTGCAAGTTAATTTATTTATAAAGGCTATTTTAATTATTGTGATAAATTTGCACAGAAGCACAGTCAGGGTGATTTACAACTTATTCCATACGACAATTGTCCTCCATCTGCAAAAGCCAGTTCACAGTTTTAGTTTCAATTTCCTGTACTTCATCAGGCACGGCAGGGTCATAGAGTTTACTTCCTGCTGTGGAAGGGCAAGGAGAATTGTCTGCATCATCAGAAACAGCCGCAGCAGTGAGAAAGTTGACAGGAGGAAGAGGATTTCTGTGGAGAAACCTTTCTACTAGATGTGACAGGATCTCTGATGCAATACACATTGATATGAGAAACCACTTCATATACTGTTGATTCCCATTTGTCTGCAATTTTCCTCTTTCCTTGCTCACCACGATTAGCAACCAAAACTCTGTCCCACACTTTGAGAGGAGAACCTTTAGCTTTGCGGGTTTTTTTCATTGCTTTGTGGCTTGTTCTGATTAACTGTTTTTTTGAGCAATGCGGGCAGCCACAGTGAGATCATATTTGAGGCGAGAGACAAACTCATAATGGTCTACAACTGGGCCAGTGGAAAGAGCATGCTGAAAAACCACATCAATGGGTAGGCATGGGAACCTGCCGAACATAAGGAAAAACGGAGCAAACCCAGTTGTTTCATTCTCAGTGCAATTGTAGCAGAATGTTAAAATTCTGAGAATCTGAGTTCGTCTGGCCTTGGACTGGGGAGGAAGTGCTTGTATGATGTTACCTAAGGTTCTATTGTAACGTTCAAACAAACATAGATGCTACTGTTGAGTTGTTCATAGGAACCATCGCACCCAAGCTATTGGAGCCGTGGGAAGCAATCAACAGAATTTTTGTGACAAATCTAGAGCTAATTCTACAAAACCATTATAATCATGACTTTAATGAAAACCCCTCAGCAGGTAAAGATATGTCAAGGAAGGATTTGAGATTTATGGACATTATGGTTTCTACCGCACATCTACAGGAAGATAGATATGTTCTTAATTTACCCCTAAGAAATAAAGTTGTGACCTTACCCAATCACTTTTCTAAGGTTTTGCAAAACATTCCAGAAGATTGGTGGGCAAAGGATCTAAAAGAGCTTAACCTAGATAGGGACAAACGTCCTATGGAGAGAGCTTTAGGGCTTCTCTGGTGTGTGGAATCGGATGACTTCAAGTTCAAGATTGGAGTTAAACAACAATGTCTCACTAGGCATGGTATGCTGTCAGTAACCAGCTCTGTGTATGATCCTTTGGAAATTCTTGAACCTGTCACTCTCACAGGTGATATGTTGCAACAGCTGTCACTGTTGCAACATATCACCTGTGAGAGTGACAGGTGCAAGTTGTTGCATGTTGCAACATGCCAAGATGTTGCAATAGGAACTCTGCAAAAGAAAATGTGGTTGGGATGAGGCTTTACCTCCAGACATTTTACAAAAAAATGGAATTCATGGACTCGAGCTTATACTCTTGACATACTTTCAGATGAATCAATGTATTCTACCAAAAGACTTTGGGGAGTCTGTTTACACAGAATTGGATCATTTTGCTGATTCCAGCAAAGATGGCTATGGAACTGTGTCATACATTGGACTAAAGAACTTCCAGAATGACATTCAAGTTGCATTCTTATTAGACAAGGCTCGAGTTGCTCCACTGAAGACCATCACAATCCCACGAATGGAATTAACAGCTGCCGTCCTGGCTGCTCAGTTGGATGCCCTTTTGAAGGCGGAGCTGCAACTATGGAATGATGATTCTGTGTTCTGGACCGAGAGTATGTCAGTATTGAAATACATCTACAATGAAGACACACAATTTCAAGTGTTTGTGGCAAATAGAGTCTCTGCTATAACAGAGACTTCACATCCTTCTCAATCGGTCTTTGTCAGACACGTGACTGACACGCCCCCTAGCGCCATTTTTGTGGTGAGCGGAAGAAAAACAAAACAGCAGAAAACAAGAGGAGAGCGCTGCCAGCAGTGAGGATTATCAGTTAAATGGAAAAGAACAAGAAAACTGAACGGATACCCTACCCAGACAAACTTTCTAAAGCTGCTAGGGAACGATATTATATATTATTATTACAGTGACAAGGCAGATGTTGTGGGCAGTTGCACAGATAGCTGCAGTTATTAGAGCAGTTTGTGCTGCTCATCAGACTG